CAAGCTCCAAGAACCTACTGTTGTTATAGAGGTTATTATTTGCATGGTAAAAATTTTCTCTTGTAATAGAGTACAAGGGAAAGGGAAAAACAATCACTTCTTATTTAATTTTGGTTACTGGAATGACAACAACCTTAGCATCAATTTAAGCACTGATCTGCCCTTCAGGAAATATTATTTAGAAACTTGGACTGATAGAAGAACGGTTTTCCTCAAGATTATTTATAGTACCAGTAATAATTTTTCTTTAGCATCAGTATCTCTTTATCATCCAATGCTTTCTTTATTGAAAACACCAATTCAAAATTTTAATAATAAATTCATCAAGGCCATGATATTTTCAAAAAAGTTGATGCTGATTTTAGTGACATGAAATGGATTTATGTAAAATTTGTTGTATGTCTTCTCTCATCATATAACTGCTTAATTTACATTTATACAAAATTATTTGTACTTAATACTTAATGTTTTTTACAGGATTTTATGTGCTACACCTAGAAGGACCAAACTTTTATGTGCATATTGAAGTGAACATATTGAATTTCATAATCCTGTAATACAGCTGTTTAAGAAAATAGGTGTGCTGTTTGCATTAGGCTCAAGTCCATATATATTAAGTCCCATGATTAGGAGAAACCACAAAATTGAGATGAAGGTAAGTGCCATATTTGCACTATATTCTGTTAGAATCCCAAATAATTTGCTCATCTTGATTTGGTCCTCCTAAAAATTGGGGCAATATTACAGTTGAGCTTATGTACATTTAAAGGAAACACTGAAGTTTAGGATCAGTGGCTTCTTCAATAGATCGCAAAATAGCATTGCTCCATTTAAAAGCACAACAGCAAAATATGGTAGTGGATGTTATGACAGAAATGCTGCTTGGAACATGACTGTGGATGATCTAAGTAGATGAGTTAAATGAAATGAGATTCCAGGAACTGCTCAGGAGACATGGGGTTAGTTAATAATGCCATTTAGAACAAAGGTTGAGGCAGACAACTGGTAAGACTGGTCAATGAAACCATGAATGTAACATTCGAGACAACTGGAAGAAGTAGGTCAGGCAGGATTCACTGATTTAGAGCCATGGCTAATTCAGCACTTTGGACAGTTCCCAAAGACATGTTGCCTTCCAGGCACTTAGATTATTTACCCTTTAGATTACCAGATCAACTCATTTAATCCTACCTCTTGGTGTCTCACTTATACCTGCATGTGACCTTAATCCCAAAGGAATTATCTGTATTTAACTAAAGAACTCTGTGGTCTGTTTCACATGAAGCCTACATCTTCAGTCCTTACATAAAGATTCATAGTGTTGTGTTACTTGATTTTACATCAGGCTCACCACTGGGCTTTGTTCTATTAACTTAATTTTATTTTATTTTTTTAATTTTTTTTCAACGTTTATTTATTTTTGGGACAGAGAGAGACAGAGCATGAACGGGCGAGGGGCAGAGAGAGAGGGAGACACAGAATCGGAAACAGGCTCCAGGCTCTGAGCCATCAGCCCAGAGCCCGACGCGGGGCTCGAACTCACGGACTGCAAGATCGTGACCTGGTTGAAGTCGGACGCTTAACCGACTGCGCCACCCAGGCGCCCCCTATTAACTTAATTTTAAACTTGATTCAATATGAAAAGATAAGGATGAGATCATCCAAGTCACGGAAGAGAGGCTGTTTACCAACACCTGATGGTCCACCAGAACCAAATCCTCTGGGCCATTTACATACAAGGGCATTCAGCAGCTGTTGTATAACAAACTGAAATGAGGTGCTCAGACAGAGTGAGGAGTTGGTGCTGCGGAGAAAAGGAATCTGCTAAAACTGTGTCTAGGATCATGGAGCATAACCGTAGATAGTAACTCACGCACATTAAGGCCCTCCTTGCAGTCTCTGGTAAATAAAAGAATTGCTCTTTTGGGGCGAGTAATTTGAGCCAATTTCTAGGAGGCAAATCTGCAATTCAAGAAAGTCTACTTTGTTTCTAATCAAAGGACAAATTTCATTTTAGCTACATCTTTAACCAAGATTAAAACTAGAATTATTGACAGTGAGACAAAAATGCATACATATGAGAAATACTTTAAAAATGTATTCTTCCTCACAACTACTTTTCAGGTAGATGTTTCCTGTTCTGAAACTGAGTAGTGGGGGTGAACGCTATAAGACTGGTTTCTTCAATGACGGGCATCTTAACTAGACATTTTATAGAGGATTTTCTTGATCTTTGCTAATCAAAAATGAATGGGGTCCCAGTCCCTGACAAGAAATGCACAAGTTGGTAAGTATTTATGAGCAAGAAGAAGCAGAGACTATCTCCCTACCTCCAACTGCATTAGCAGTCTTGATATTCTTGTTTCTGGGTTGCAATCAGACCTAACATAGCTAAAAGATCTATAACCTTAACATTGAGAGTACACCTCCCGCCAAAAAAAAAAAAAAAAAAGCCACTAAGAGTAGCCCAATTTCTTCTTACTTTCTTTAGTGGAGTCACAGATATCAAAGATGAATTTTCTAGTCTGGCTGAAGGCTGTAGAGTACTGAGAAGGCATGAAAATGTTTTAGCAAGGAGAAGGAAAGGGAGCAATGGTCCAAACACTGCAGAAAGGAGAATATATAACATAGAAAAACTGGGATTTTATTGAAGAAATCTTATGAGAGATTGATGTCATGGAAGTTTGACAAATATAAAAGCTCTCAGGTTTTTTTTTGTCTGGCTAAGGAGCACATTACTGTTATTCTGTATATTCTGAAAGCATCGACAGCAGAAAAGGCATTCCCCAGGTTTCCTTGACAAATAACACACTAAGTGGTAGCCCTGAGCCTTGAGTTTATGATCAGTCCTGAAGGAATAATAGTGATTTTCATTAGAATGTCAATTCTACTGGTTCCTCAGCTGTAATTGTAAGAAAATCTGAAGATCCCGAGATTTGAGAATGCTACCTAGGTGTCTGCCCAGATGGTTATGTGACCTGAAAAAGGAATATTGTTTTCAACCAAGTATACCATGTGTATTTGTAAGCAATGGTATTGATTCCACAAAGTCATATATACAAAGTTTTTTTAGTCAATGATCAGCTCTATGCATGTGGAGGCAATTAACAAGCTGGCACCAAACTTTAGCAAACTAAACTTTCAATACTGAAAAGATGTCTGAAAAAGATTCAAGACAACCCACCCTGGCTCATGAAACTTGGCTATATTTTTATGGTTTCAGGATAGTTTCCTCAAAATTTAACTGGAACCTAAAATTTACTTTATTTTAAAATATTGCTATTAAATTTCATCCTGAGAGGTCTGGAGATTTAACATGAACATTTGGTTTAATTTTTTTTCACCTTCTATACAGTTAACAGAGTCTTTATTTTTAAAAACAAAAAGAAAAGGTCATATTGTTAACCATACTACTTTTGATTTGCTCCTGCATGTTAAGCTGCTGGGTTTTTTGTTATATAAATATAATATTTATATTTGCTTTTATATTATAACATATATTTATATTTATGTATGCTACATATATAATATTAAATAAGGTAATTAAATACATTATTATTGGCAGACATACAAACTAATGAATGCCACTAAATAATGTCACAAAACTCACAAGAAAATATGCTACAAAATTTATTGTTTATTTACTCTGACTTCTTTGATATAAGTACTTTCTATGATTTATACAGTTATTTTTCATACAGTTTAAGCAGCTTATATGAGCAACACAGCTTTTATATTTAAAATATTTTCAATCAACCTCCATCATTACTTATTTTTGACAACATGAACAAGAAACAATACTCATGTGTAAAACCATTTTCTTTTCCTGGGTATTTTTGCCTATTTCCTATAAATGTGGCAATAAGCAACTAAATGTCTTAGCCATAATGTAGGCACATGTCTCAGCCTAAATTGCCTTAGGAATGCAAAGTAAAAGAAGAGATTTTAATATTTCTAACAATATAAAATATTAAGTTCTTAAGTAACTCTAGTCCACTGGGCATCTACAAGTAAGTGAAGGAGGAAGTAGAGGGTCAAACTACTAATGAACCCAACTTACTTGCTAATGGGAGACCTCAAGTATTTGATTGACTAAGCAGCAATGCATATATTATTACTTTTGTTTTTAATATCACTCACTATTACTTTTAATACAGTAAAACTGGATTCATCTTTGAACTTACTAATATATACAAATATAGTTCACACATACAATGGCTATGAAATACATAATTCCATTAGACATAAACTACATGCCTGTAGATGTCACTTAAATGTATAAATGTGATCATATCAACATGTTATTTATTTGTGCTTTTCAATGCTACCGTTCTCCTTTTACAGATAATTCTACTGAGGTTCACAGATACCAACAGAGTTATTTAGTATTTATAGTGGATAAGTAATAAAGCCAGATTTGGAACTGAGACAGATTCTGGTTCACGTTACAGTGCTCTTTCCACTGAAAGATACTTCCTACATTCAAGCTTTTAGTGTCATCTATTGTTCATGTTTGACTTGAGTACACAAGGAGACTTTTCTATTGCAGTAGAGCTTGGGAGAGCAAGCACAGATCATATTTCCTCATATTTTCCTACTTCATCATTTTGCATGAGATGCAAGTGAAGGCCAGTGAAGTGAAGGAACTAAAAAAAAAACCACACAGAGATAATGACAGGACTGCAACTCAAGTCCTGTGCTCTTTGAGATGTTATCTAAAGATGAAGATAATTTATTTGGAAGATCACAGCTTAGTCTCAGGAGGCCATCACAAGTATATTTCAGTGGGCACATACATATCTCTCAGCATCTGAAGAGTAGAATTAATCTAGATGTATCCTAACTTTTTATTTAGAAAATATGTTTCTAAAATTACCTTATTAAAGCTCTCAAACCAAAAGCAGTAGCTTATCAGTAATCTGGCATCCTAACGCATTTCAGCAACAGAGAAAAAAATGTGATGCAACAAGGAATAAATTTAGCAGACGAGCTGTGCTTACCTTCATAAGTCCCACTTTCTAAGAGAGCACCACTTTTCTCCAATTCCATAAAATCTTCAACGGTGATGAAAATATAGTCCACTCCAGGGACCTCACCCTCCTTATGTGGCCTTGTGGTGCCTGAATAAGGAAAAATTAAAAACAAAAGAAAGACTCTAAGTGATTTGTTGTTGAACTTTAGAAATATCACCATACTTCTGAATATTCAATAACACTTGTTTGTACATCCTGCGAGTTGGCAGCCTGCATTTGTCCTTCTGTTTGTTTGGAAACAGAAAATAGCATGGGTAAAGATTAAAGTAAATATACAAAGCATTCTTCTTCATCAAGCTTATAAAGAGTTCATTGCCATGGAATGCAATTGCATACATTTCTTACAGTGGAAAATGCAGACCATTGTGCCCTTTTTTGAAGGGGCGTTTGAATATTGGGCCAGAAGTCTGCTAGCTCAGGAATTTACATATCTCACTTCTATGAATAAACCTTTATTGTTCTGTAGATTGCCTTGCTATGACATAAAATACAATGGAAAATAGGAATGTCAGCAGCATGTCAATGTATCTCCCTATTTTCATGATCTGCTCCTTTGTAAGAGTACTTTTGGTTTTCATTTGTTAACTTGGCCCCCCAAAATAACTTATATTTGATTTAAAGGAATACAAAATCTTTACTATTACTTAAAATTAATTAAATAATAATTGGAATTGGTGATAATTATAATTCAGTTAGTATTATAATTCCAGTAATAGTTTCCTTTCTTTCCCTTCCCTCCCTTCCTTTCCCTTTCCTTTATTATTGCCTTTAATTCTGACTGAACTGGGAAGCGAAACGCTCTGGGTTGCTTCATGGGTCAACCACTTTTGTTTCCTACAGGGTAAATGGGACATCTGTGGCCAAGGTGACAGAAATATCAACCTGTGGCTCAGTGCATCTGTGCTAGAGAAGTCAGGCTTCCAGATCTGCTGTCCAGTTCATAAGGCAGGAATCAAAATAGAGACATATTAAAGGTTGTGGGTGTGTTTTCTGGTGCACTTCCCTCTCTGAAGATGCCCTAAATTCTCTTCTTTTTCTATGCCACCTAATAAAACATTTTGTGTTGTCAGATTGGAATTTCCATAATGCATACAGGCAAATAGTTTATAGAAATAAACAAAGGGCAGATAGATATAAGCAAGTATTAATACATTGGCAGGATTGTTCACATTCAAAATTTCCTCCATATTCTCCATATACTAAAAAAAGTATTTTAAACCCTTAAATTTAATTTTCAGTCTATGAAATCTTTATCAGCTAGACCATGAAAATAGCCAATTGGTTCTCCTTTTGGTCTGTTAGGATCAGATTTGAACTGCAGATGAAAGGCATAAACTCATGCCAGAATATACAATGTGCTAATGAAATTGATTTTGTATAAAAATGAATAATTTCCATTGAAAACATTTTTTGAAGAGATTTGAAAGCATTATTTTCTAAAATTAAATTTTAGAACCCTTCTTTGGAGGTTGTAAAACAATTTTTTTCCATAATCACATTTAATGACTTTCCCCTAAATTTGTTACTTCATTTGTTTAACTGAGCCACATTTTGCAATATTTCCTACTGCTTTTATGCTATACAATATAAACCTCCCACACCTAGTATGCACAGTGTTGTCAAATTAATGTTTCTATGAAAACCTTAACTTTCAATATCCTGACTTTTACATGCTTAACCCTTGTGAATTAAAAGCACATTAACATAGTTTTTGGCAATCAATTTGTTTTCTGTTTATTTAGAACACACTCTAATCATTAAGAAAAATAGCATAACAAAGATTCCATTTTCCTTACTAATTTATCTGCATATTTCAGAAGCTACATGCTTTGATTAATTAAGTGCTTGCAGTGTGGTAATGCATTCCTAGCACAATATGAGCACAGGAACACATGCTTGAGGCCAGTTCCTGAGTTTGCTTCTGGACTGGAATTACTTGACTATGCCAAACTCTAGTGGACATGTTTGTGGTTGTGATCTTTTGGAAGGACCATCAGTACTCTGGTTCACTGGGTAGGTTTTCCATCTCTATACTGCATCTCAGGACAATGCGACTGAACTCTTGCCTAGGGGATACAGACTCCTAATGGCTACATCAGTGTCACCTGTTGCTACTGACCTGCTTAAAGCTATTTGGATGGGGGCTCACCTACCTCACTGTGGCTTGAAGAAGTTCTATACTATAATTCCAAATGCTACAATCCCCATCTTTGACATTCATCTCATGTCTTCTTTTCTCATCCTCTTCATTTTTATAATTATAACCCCCAGGCTCTTGTTCTCTTTTAATTTCCCTCATGTTCACCAAATATGGCTTCAATTCCCTCTCTAAATTCTAAAGACTCTAAATTCTAAACAACCTAGAATCCCATCTTTCCTTTAGCTCACCTTCACCATTCCCCCACTCCTAATAAGCTCCCAAGTTCAATATTGGCTATTTCATTCATAGACTGTTAGTTGCTCCAGAAAACAGTGGACATTCATCCACTGAGAAAGCACCCTACAAATTCAGGTTATCTAATATCAGTTTGATTCAACTGATGATTGGCAATCCTTTTATATGTCTTCCTTCTCTGTCACAATCAGACCATTTTCTAGTACTCAACAGCTGTCACTTTCAACAGAAGACATTAGTGCATTCTCTTTGTGGTAAAGAAAGAGATAATCTGAAATCAAATTCCCCAAAGCTCATCTTATTTTTTGTTTGTTTGTTTATTTATTCATTCATTTTAAATGTTTATTTATTTCAGAGAAAGACAAAGTGCCAACAGGGAGGGGCAGAGAGAAAGGGAGACACAGAATCCGAAACAGGCTCCAGGCTCTGAACTGTCAGCACAGAGACCAATGCGGGGTTTGTACGCACAAACCGGGAGATCATGACCTGAGTTGAAGTCAGATGCTTAACCGACTGAGCCACCCAGGCACTCCAAGTTTATTTATTTTGAGAGAGAGAGAGAAAGAGAGAGAGCAAGAATGAGTTGGGGAGGGGCAGAGAGAGAGAGTGAGAGAGAATCCCAAGCAGGCTCTGCACTGTCAGTGCAAAGCACGACAAGGGGCTCAAACTCACAAAATGTGACATCAGGACTTGAGCTGAAATCAAGATTCTAGATTAACCAACCAAGTCACCCAGAACCCCCTTCTCAAAGTTTCTTAATTTGTACTTTCGTTACTGGCATTCTCTTCACCCTTAATTGGAATCATCCATCTATCTTGCTAAAATGAATCCTTTCTCTTCTGCTTTCTTGCAGGTTAGTTTTTTTTTTTTTCTTTTTAAAAATCAGAGTTACATATGCAGATATTTTGAAGTCAACCATTCTACAGAGCTCAGTATTTGAATAAAAGCAGACTGTCATCACCACTCCCCAAAACCTTCCCTTCATCCGGAGGCAAAGACTCAACATTTTTAGCTGATTCTTTTGTTTTTACCTCCATCCATTTAAATAATTTATTTATGATGTCCTTCTTTCTTTTTTTGTTTCTAATGTTTATTTATTTTTGAGAAAGAGAGACAGAGTACGAGCAGGAGAGGGGTAGAGAGAGGAAAGAGACACAAAATCTGAAGCAGGCTCCAGGCTCTGAGATGTCAGCACAGAACCCAATGCGGTGCCCGAAGTCACCAACAGTGAGATCATGACCTGAGCTGAAGTCAGACACTTAAATGACTGAGCCACCCATGTGCCCCCTCCCTTGTATCTTTGTACATGTGTTTTACTTTAGCTATTATTTCCTGATTTCTTGGTAAAGCAAATGAGGAGTTAGCTGTTTCTTGCCCAAGTTTCCTACACCTCACTTCCTCCCTCTCTCCTCCTCCCATTCTCCCAATAGCACAAACTTGTGTTTAGATGACTACTTAATGTTTACAATGACAACAGTATGTAAATCTATTTCCACCTGAACCTTGTGATGTGGTAGTAGACTAATTTTCCTTTCTTGCATAACTTTTGTTTACTCTAGATGTAGTGTTTCCATTTCCAATTTCCCTTATATTAATGGAGAATTCAATTAATTAACACCTTCCTTGTTGGATAAATCAACTTTTAACATATACAAGTATACTTAATATTTCATCAGGTTTATCCTATTGAAGAAATTGCTCCTGGAGCCTCTAACCTGCTCCAATCCAGACCTGCTGTCCCATGACACAGCTGTCATCCTGGGATCATCTTTGCCATCATCCCGGGGATTCACTTTGCCTCTTCCCTGTGTCATACTGCTCTTTTCCCAGATCCCATGTCTCTTTTTGTGGTCTATTCCCTCGTTTTGGCAGAGCACATCTGCCAGAAGCTTTCTGTCAAAAGCTTTCACAGAAGCTACATTTTCTTTTCATGCCTGAAAAATACTTTATTCTATCCTTATGGTGGCAAATCGGACTCAGCATTTCAGGAAAATTTCATAATGAAAACATATTTTCTCCATCCTGTTCCTCTGTTAATGTCACCACTATTATTCTAGCCATACATGCTTTGAACCTTTCCCTCAGAGTCACAATCGGGGTGTCTGTCCCTCACTTGTTTATCCCATCTCCAAATATTTGGCAAATTCTGTGCCCTGTACCTCCACAATGTTGTCTTTCCCTTCTGTACTATCTCTGTTCTAAAATTGCCCTCCTGGACCTGGTACTGGCTATGTCACTGTTGTGACTGCCTCCCCCTCTTAGTTTATCATCGCACTCCCCAATTACCCTGGGAAAGCATGAGGCTGACCTCTAGTCAAGAGATTTGGTTGAAAACATAAGGAGAGGAAAATACTGAAAGTTTAAAAAGTCAGAAAAATCTAAGATTCTATTATTGACAATAAAAGATGATTCTGGCATGCCAGGTTGTAGAGTCTCAGGATGGACTTTCCTTTATGGAACATGTGAGGAAAATAATTTGAGAAGTTTCCTCTTAAGAAATATCTTCCTTTGGGCTTGTCATGTGGCATTCTCCTCTCTGGGTACCCCCAAATTTCCACCGTTAGAATTACTCTTTGGTTTAGACCAAACAGAAACTGTCTTTAAAACATAAGCTATAGTAGATGTGAGTGTGAGCCAGGCAATGAAACTGCCTGGGTTTGGTGGAGCTCTGCCATTTGCTATCAGTTTTACC